TCACGCCCGCAGTGTCGCGGCTGCCGGGCTCTGGGGGCTGAGCCACGGCCAGAGGAGGGCGCAGGGCCTGGCCCGAGGGTCACAGCGTCCAGGACTAAGTGTCAGCTCATGTTGGCTCCATGGCCTGGCCAAGGGGGAGACAGCCGCTCTGGGCAAGGCCGCTCCCCGCCCGCCTTCCTGAGCCACACGCCCGGCCTCGCTCCAGCGCCATCTCTGAGAGCAAGCCAGTGTCCACCTGCCTCAGAACTCTCCAGAGCTCGCCCCGGTCCCCACAGCCTCGTGAGGTCCCCCACGCAGGCTGCTCTCGGCCCTCCGACTGCCCCAGCTCAGCCCGAGAAGGCCCCTCAGGGAAGGGTTCGCTGGGAAGGTGAGACTTCCCCTCGGGTGGTTCCGCAGTTGGGGTCATCTTTTTTTTATCCTCATCTGAGAATAGTTTTCTTTTTGTTTTTTTAATTATTTTTAGAGAGAGTGAAGGGAGGGAGGGGAAGAGAGAGAGAGAGACAAGCACCGACATGAGAGACACATGGACTGGTTGTCTCCCTCCCACCCCTGCCCTGACCAGGACGGGGATTGGACCTGCAAGCCGTCCCCGGCCTGTGGAACCACGAGTGACCCTGACAGGAGACACCTGGACAGGTCACTGTCAGAACGACAGGAAACAAGAGAGCCCACACCAACCAGCAGGGGTTCCCCAAGAACCAGGCCCCCAGGCGCCCCAGCGCTGAAACCCGGCCGGCGGGACCAGCCCCGCACCTGGTAGAGGAGGTAGGTGGACTCCACCAGCTCCGGCCGCAGCGGGTAGAAGAAGACGTCCGGGGCCTGCAGCTGCCAGTTGTACCGCTCGGGGAGCGCCCCGTAGCGCTTCCAGATGGCGTAGTAGAAGGCATGCAGGCAGATGGCATCTTCCACGTCTCCTATCAGGACCTGCGGAGGCATCGGCCGCCGGGCTAGGACGCTGGCCCACGGCTCTGGCTTTCCCTCCCCCACCCATACCCACCCTGGGCTGGAGACAACCCCAAAGTAGCACCCAGAGCAGGAGAGGCCTCCCTCGGGGCATCAGTGCCAGGAGGACGGGCACAGCACCGGCCAGGGCTTCTCTGTGATCACAGACAAGACAGCCGAGGGGCCACCAAACACAACACTGGGCCACTTTCCGGGCACGGCTTCCCGCTTATCTGTGGCTCCGTCCAACACTGTGGAGCCAACTCCACTAACAGAACCACCGAGACACGTCCTGCCATTGCCCTCCTGAATCCGAAGGAGCCGGGAGCCTGCGGCCGTAGGAAGGAGGACCAGCGCCCCCACTTGCGTGCCAGGGAGGGCGGCGGTACCTGCAGCCCCGGGAAGAAGGCCTGCAGCGAGTCCATCCACGTGTTCATCAGCCGCCCGCTGAACATGTCCACGTTGACGTACAGCGGGGGGTCCCCTTCGCCCTCGTTGCAGGCTTCCCGGCTGCGGCGAGCAGAGGGCAGGGTGAGAGGATGGTGACAGGCGGCTCATCCCCCCGCGGCCCGAGTTCCACTTCATGGCGTTGGCATGAACCTTCCTCCTGCTGCCCCCCCCACCCTTTTTTAGAATTTTATTTATCTCACCTTTTCCTGGCCAACTCAATGGCTTTGGTCATTTGTACAAAAATTCTAAAAACTGGCTTTCAGCCCTAGCTGGTTTGGCCCAGTGGGTAGAGTGTCGGCCTGCGGACTGAAAGGTCCCAGGTTCAATTCTGGTCAAGGGCACATGCCCGGGTTGCGGGGGTTTGATCCCCAGTAGGGGGCAGGCAGGAGGCAGCCAATCAATGATTCTCTCTCATCATTGATGTTTCTCTTTCTCTCTCCTTCTCCCTTCCTCTCTGAAATCAATAAAAATATATTTTAAAAAAAGGCATCAAACACATCCTACCCCTTTAAGGCTCCGCCTCTCCCGATACTAGCGCCGCACAGGTAACCCCCGAACGAGCCTGAGGTCGGAACTCGGCCGCGGAGCAGCCCGGCTCACGTCCTCCGCGGGGAGCACTGGGACATGCAGCGTAAGGACAGGCCACGCGGGGCACGGGGCGCACAGCAGGTCTGCGTGGGTGTGACCTGCGTGGGAGGCCTGGCTACTTCTGCATAAACGGCATCTCTCCCCTGGTCAGGCCCCACGCCACGGGCTGCAGGCACACACCGAGCCAGCTGCCCGAGGGCCGGCTCCTCAGTTCCGTTTGGGGCTTTAAAAAGTAAAAACGGTGCCCGGCCGGGGCGGCTCAGTGGGCTGGGGCATCGTTCCACGTACTGGAAGGTTGAGGGTTCGATTCCCAGTTGGGGCACATGCAAGAGGCAACGGATGGATGTGCCTCTCTCACATCAATGTTTCTCTCCCTCCCTCACTCTCTAAAAATCAATAAAAACTGCCCCCTCCCCCAAAAAGTGAAAGTGGCTGAGCTCCAGCCAAACAGCCTGTTGGCGGGACAGCACTCGCGGTGACTCCCACGGCAGCCACTGTGGGGACGGGTCCAGGCGGGCGCTCCGAGCGAGAGACATCAGTGACGTCAGGGGAGAGGCCAGGCAGCCGCCACCTGGATGCACTGCTGAGAGGCAGCAGACGAGGCAGAGGGAGAGCCGCGGCCACGCCTGGCTCTCAGCAGGGGCACGGCCAACCCTAGCAACTCTCCGGCAAGTAAAGGGTCCACAGTGACTCGGCGACCGCCCTGCACGACCGCCGTCTCCTGAGAGCCATGAGGCGCAGGCTGTGGCGCGTGGCAGCCAGGCTCTGACGGTCCGGCCCTGCCTCCCTGAGCCGCCCTGGGTGACCCTTCCCACTGCCCGGCGGCTGTGCGATCAGACGCAGGCAGAGCCGGTCTGTCACTCTGAGATTAGGTCACGAAAGCACATGGTCTCTCTCCGAGGGAAGCGGCCAGGAGCCACTTACAAGAGGCCCGAGTTGCCGAGACCTCCAGCCGACAGCCAGCGGCTCTGGCCACCGTGTGCACCTGGAAGGGGACTGTCCGGCTCGACTGGCCTTGACAAGGCGCAGCCCCTGCCAACAGCCTGGGGACAATCCCGTGAGACGCTGTGAGAGGCGGTCTGAGCATTGAGTTCTGGGGGAACTGTGATGTAGCAGGAGGCAGCTAACGCACCCTGTCACCCCCAGATGACGGACAAACAGCGGGGAGCCCGAGGCCATCAGGGCCTGGGACTTTGCTCTGGGCTGGGCTGTGCTCTCGGCGCCAGGCGCGGGCGCGGCGCGGACGTACCCTCTGCGCAGGTAGCTCTGGATGCTGTGGTAGGCGGCGTTGAACATGTCCAGGTCCTCCTTCTCCCCGAAGAGGATGTAGGACTTGAGGAGGTACTCGTAGAAGGAGTCCAGCCCCGCGCCCAGGCCGCTCTGCTTGCCCACCCAGTGGCCCGTCTGAATGTTGACGACGTTGCCTGTGGAAACGAATGGAGCGGGTCAGGCTCCCGCTGTTGGGGGCAGCCCCTCCGGGGCCCCTGCACCGAGCACCCCTGGCAGGAGAAGACGGGGAGCTGGGCCCTCAAACTGTCCTTAGTCCCAAGGCAGCTCGGCAGCAGGAGCCTGACCGCTGACGCCAACACGGGGAAACGGTGTTATTTGCTTTTCCCATCGAACCTCACAACTATCCTCTAAGCAAAGTCCCAGGAGGACACTGGGCGGGGCAGACACCGAGGGCCGATCGCGGAGTAGTCACTTTTCAGATTCAATGGTACAAGCAGAAGAGAGGAGGGAGCCCCAGAGAAGAGGGAAAGTCGGGGACCAGGTGAGCAGCCCCGTGGCTGGAGAAGGGGAGGGACGGGGCCCAGGCGCACAGCCCCATGGCTGAGAAGGGGAGGGACAGGGCCCAGGCGCACAGCCCCATGGCTGGGGAAGGCGCACACACCTAGCAGCCCAGTGCCGCTGCTCCGGAGGCTCCACAGGGCCTTCACCGCGCGGCGGGCCACCCACTCGAAGGTGGAGTCCCCCAGCAGCCGGCTCAGCATCCCGAACTCCACCAGCAGGGACCCGGCGCCGGCCGTGCAGGTCTCGTTATTGCTGTCGGGGGGGACGCCCGTCTTCAGGTTCACCTGCGATGGGAAGAGACAGAGGTTCGTGGTGCCCAGGCAACGTGGCTCAGTGGTTGAGCGTCGACCTATGAATCAAGAGGTCACAGTTCGATTCCTGGTCAGGGCACATGCCCGGGTTGTGGGTTCAATTCCTGGTGTGGGGAGTGCAGGGGGCAGCCGGCTGGTGATTCTCTCTCATCGTTGATGTTTCTGTCTCTCTCTCCCTCTCCCTTCCTCTCCCTTCCTCTCTGAAATCAATAAAAGTCTTTAAAAAAGGGGGGGGGGGTTGTGGCAAAACTCAAGGAACCCGCAGGGCCAGCAGGCGAGGCCCCGCCCCTAGACTGAATTGCAGTGAGTCAGCTCACAGCCTCCGCCTCCAGCCTGGCCGGATCATCAAAGACACAAAGGAGAGGCTGGCGCGGGAGACCAGGCCGCTGTGCGGTCACTTACTGGTCTGCGGGAGCTCTTGGAGCTCAATCCTGCTCAGACCGGGAAAAGGAGGCAGCGAGGCAGGACAGACCGCTCCGGCAGTCCGTCACCGTGGCAACGGGGCCTGGCCACTCCCTGCCGGGGCCCAAGCGGCTGACTCAAGTCCCAAGGGAGTCGTGGGCTCGGGGAATCAGACCCGCAGGGGTGGACTCTCACTCTAGGTCTCGCATTTAAACCAGCAGCAAATGTGCTATCTGTGCAGGCTTCACGGGGAAGCAACCGTGGGGAGCGGTCACATGACAGCAGCCACGGGAGGGTCTCGGGGAGATGTGCCCCAGGGGAAACAAAGACACACCCACACGGCTTGTAGCGGGGGTACAAACCCCACCCGTGGAGGGACAACGCTGAGCCACGAACAGAGCTGGTCCTGAGGAGGAGGGTTACGGCAGACAGGTGCTGTATGCCCGGCACACGGTAGGTGCTCAGTAAATGCCAGAAGAATGGAAAACGTCTACATCGTATTTAGGGCCGATTCTCTCGAAGACACAGCTGTCCCTTGTATATCAGCCCCTTTCCTCCCCCCAAATATGCTGCTCAACAGAGATTTTCATTCAGGAAGACGCCGGGAGCCAGCCTGCGTACCCGGGGATAGGGAATCCCCGTCTTGGTGTTTTCGAAGGCCGGCAGGAGCCGCACGGCCAGGTCGTGGGCCATGTGCAGCAGCTCGTTGTCGTAGTCCTTGATGGTCATGTCGCCGAAGGGCTGCTTGGAGTCCGTGATTATCCGGTGGGCGGACAGGAGGCTGCCCAGGACCCTGGTGACAGGAGGGACACAGA